AAAAATATGTGAAATTGAATGGAAACGTCAGCTCAACTTATATGATTGTGGGAAAATTCTTCTTCTACCAATCCTTAATCAACTTAAACGAAATTGGATGAATACATCTCATACTATTGATTTACTAGTGGTCTCGAAACAATACTTAATGCGAAAAAATAAAGTATAGTAGTCGATTGTTATAGCAAATATACGTTAGCTTCATTTACCATCCCACTAAAGAATATGATATGGCAAAAAGGCCTGATCTTCCTTGAAAATTCACATTTTCCCTGTGACCCAAAATGCACTCGTTGCAGTGAAGACGAGTGGTTGGCGTGTTGAGGTCCCATCCTACACTGTCGCAGTTCGACTCCCGCTGAGGGTGTTGATAAGACCAGTTGATGCGAGGTCGAAACTGCAGTCCACTCCAGTCGGGATGAGAACAACTTTTGGAAAAACAAGGCTCTGTGAAATTTAATGGAAACGTCATCTCAACTCATATCATTTCGGGAAAATTCTTCTACCAGTTCTTTATCACCATAAACGAAATTGGCTGAATACATCTCATATTATTGACTTATAATTGTTTCCCAAACGCTAATGCCATGTAAATAAAATAAATGTTCTCTTTTGTAATGCAAAATACAAGTTTGCTTCATTAAGCATCCTACTAGAAAATATATATGCATATACATTGCCAAATTGGGCGTCAAATTTATGTCTGCCCTGTGATAGACTAGGGCTCGTCATGGTGTAGTGCAGCAGTAAAATTCCAAATTTGTACGTTGCACCATTTTGGCTCAATTTCCTCTAATTGAGCTGATGAGATCCAAGCTGCAGTTCAGTCCGACCGGGATGAGAATAACTTGCGGAAAGCAGAGGTAAATAAATTAGATTTATATCCTAAGATCTGCTTGTCTAATTTTGGAGAAATTAGCAGTACTCCTCTTCTACTGATAAGGTCAAATCCTACTTAATTTAAAGAGTTTCCCATCATAAATGATATTTTATTGAACCATGCCTAAAGTCTAAAGCTAAAAAGCGAATCTGTTCAGCGCTGTTGTTATCACCGATTGGTATGTAACTAATCTAATGGTCTATAAAGCCGTCAAAACATGAATAAGAAATAAATTGCATTATCGAGTGA